CAGTTTTGCTCTGTTTCTCTCTGCTCTCTAGCTGCTCTTTTCTAGCTCTCTCTGCTCTCTTGCTGCTGTTCGTTTCTAGCTCTCCCTGCTCTCTCTGCTCTCTGATCTCTCTCTGTGCTCTCTCTCTCTTCTCTCTCTCCCCTCTCCCTGCTGCTCTTTCCTCTCTCTTTCCCAGCCACATGGAGTGCCAACCTTGCCTGGTCCCAGCAGGTCTACTGAATAAACCTACCCCTTACCTGAAAAAAAAAAAAGAATGCAGTTTTGTTCATTTTTTTCTACTACTTTATCATTTTAACTTTCACTGGATTCTACTCACATTTTATCATTACTTTTGTTTTAATTATAGGCACAAGACCAAGAATATAAAACCAAAAGTACATATAAGTATTTATCTTAAAACACTTGTTATATAAAATTTGCTATATTTAAAAGGAAAAATACCTATTTTAAAGAACTATCTCAAATAAAGTAAAATGCATAAATAATTAGCAAAATCCATTGTAACTTATAGAAATGTAGTTTATTTCATGCAGTTACTTAATTTCATTTAACAACTATCATATAAACACCTCAAAAAATTCATTACATCACAATAAGTTACACTATTACAAAGAAACTACCAGTCAATTTAGTTTGTCAAAATCAAACCGAGAACATTATGCATAGATAAGACCAAAGATTCTACCTCACTTAGCACTTTGCAACTTTTTATAAATATACATTATAAGTGTAATGAGAATCTGCACAGAAAAATGATCAAATCTACAATCCACTGATCAAATAGGAAACCTGTCATTACATATCAGATAGTAAGAGGTGAGTAAGATAAATTTGGTATCATGCATCAAAACTGAGCATAGTTGACAATTTGAAAACTTTGATTGGATGCACATCTGAATAATTATCTTCTATTTTATCTAGTCAACTGAATTAGATGAAGGCAAAATAACAAGCACTTTATTAATGCAACACAGAAATTAGGCTTTTGGTATACTTTGCTTGGGTACTGGTAGTTATAAAAAGATATGAAGACATGTAGGCATATTCCAAGTTCACACTGGAGTACTAAAGAATATTGTCCCTAAGGATATAGGTTTGCTCAGATCTTATGTAAGAAAGACATTTAAACTATTTAACAGCAAGACTACAATTAATTAATAATGAAAACACATAAAAATTAAATATCAGGAAATAATAGCTCTCTTGTATTTTTTGATGCTATAAATTATAAACATATATTAGATTATAGTGATGTATACATATTCCCTACCTTCTAAGATGAGAAAAATCCTTCACGTTGGTTTCAAAATGCAGACAAAAATAAATACACTGGATTGCCTTTAACAAATAATAAATAATGCAGTGTCTCCCCCACAATTTGATATACTAAGTAAGGAAGATGCTAATCAGCTTTCAGCTGATAAATACAGTTCTAAGTGGGTAGATGAATAATGTTTCTATCAGTATTACCAACTCTAAATGGTATTATGCAGTTTGATAAATTATGATTTCACCATATACATGTCTGCCATGGTAAGCCTCTCTTTGTACTCTTGCACCAACTGCAGAAAAATAAATCTCCTTTTAGAAAATAATCTGCGATAACAATAACCACAAAAGAAAGGGTTTTCCTGGAAAAAAAACAATTTCCCTAAGGAGTATATTAATACAAGTATATATTTAAGACATTGATGGGAACTACGCCAACAGGCTTGCTCTAGTAATAATAAAAAATAACATAGCAATGGATAAAACAAATTTTTAGTTAAGCCATAGTAAATACAGAAAAAAAAGTAGAAGTGAGGACATGTTCCTGTGATGGGAAGAACAGACAGGACTAGCACATGCTCTCCTGGAAAGATGGCTCATGGAGCTCACAGTCAGGAAAGATGGCAATACTGCTTGGTTTCCCAAGACTCTGGGCAGGAAAATGTCACTGAGTTGGAAGTATCCCACCAGAGGGGACTTCATATGTCAGAAGGCATTCTGTAACTGTAAACCTATGACACTGTTCCATCTCTCTTAAGGAAAATTTTAATGATGTATATATTATTTATGAATTCTTCCAAGTTCTTACTGTTTGAGTTTCAAACATTTTTTGCAAAAATTATTACACTACTATGATTCATTTCACTCAAGTGCCCTCTTTAGTGACCTAAAAAGTATACATTGAAAAGCGTGTTTCACATTTACATTTAGACATCGTATACTTGTACACCAAAAACTGTTTTACTATTTTAGTTACAATACTGCTACTTCAAGTAGTGGGATTTGTGGTCAGAAGTAGTTCCTTTTGACTCCATTGGTCATCAAAAGCAAATGTATACACAAAAGAAAAAGCACACTAAAAATTATATTATAACCAGAAGTCTCAGAAAGAAGGGTGGTATTGAAAAAAATGATTTTAAGTTGGGCACTGGTAGCTCACAGCTGTTATCCTAGCTACTCAGGAGGCTGAGATCTAAGGATCGCAGTTCAAAACCAGTCCATGCAAGAAAGTCTGTGATACTCTTATATCCAATAAGCCACCAGAAAACAGGAACTGGCGCTGTGCTCAAGTGGTAGAGTGCTAGCCTTAAGCTGAACAGCTGAGGGACAGCACACTGGCCCAAAGTTCAAGCCCCACAACTGACAAAAAAAAAAAAAAAGATTTAATTAAAAAATGATTAAAAAAAAGAGGCAGAAAAGAACCCTAAGTCCATTTACTTCTTAACATTTAGGATTTAATGTAATATGATCCCTTAATCAAGAGATATTCAATAATGTTAAGATTTCTTGTTTTATCATTGCAATTTTCAGGAAAGATCCACTAAAATTACAAGTACAAAACTTACCTTACTGAGCAGTGTGAATTGTAATATAGTGTATTTTTCTTTTAATACAGTAGTTAACACATCATCATTCCCTAATCTATTAAAAAGTATTAAACAATGAGGTTTGCTAGTGAACTTAAATGAAATTCATTCCTCAATACACTAAAATATACTTTAAAAAACACACATGTTGACTTTCCTATCCACAATTAATGTGGATACATATTCCACTTAGAACACTTAGACAAATAGCAAAGGCCCCAAATTAATCACTTGGCAGCATTTTATAATACTTTGATTTTTAAATTCTCGGATTTATTTTTTTATAAAGAGAAAGCTTTAAAGCTTTACCACTTTTGTGAAATAAGGTTATCATGTGTGATGAAATTATCTAAAGTCATTTGAATTCATTAAAAGAGCCAAATTTAATAATTGGACTTTTTCTTATTTTACTTTTTTTTCAAAAATGCTCTATTGATAGCAAATTACATATTTTAAAAGTTAATTAGCAACTTATAGGTGATTAATGAAAATTACAGATTATTATTACTTTCTGCAATGGTTATTTTAAACTAGTGGCTTACTGAACATGCTTACCTAAAAATATTTAGAAAAATAATTTAGAAAATTCTAATCAGATATTATCATGTAAGAAAGGCATAAAAAAGTAGTTGCCAGAAATAATTCTTTAAGAAATGCACTTTGCATGTAAGGTGTATCAATTAAGTAATTTAGTAATAATATTTTCCAATAAATGTCATTACATGTTAATAACTGCAAAATGGAATCATTTTTGTACATACTATAGATTTTTATACAAGGTGGTTTAACAAATATTAACTTTTGTAGGACAATCTCATTTTGAAATCCGAATATTCTAGATCATTGAAACAACCAAAAACTGTTTTGGAACTCAAATGTCATAAAAAGATCTATATTATTTGTGATGTATATATATATAGGCCTATGCTTTAATTATTATAACCATAAGCATTTAGTAATAAAGGAAAGGAGCAAGTTTCCTTTATGTATTCCTATCAATTTACATTAGGGTATTATAAAGTAATTAGATAATTTCTTCTCTTTTCCTGTTTCTGTTTACTCCATCTGAGTAACACAACAAAACCTGATGAGAAATCACATATACTTAAAAATATTCCAAAGACTGGGTGTGACTCAAGCAGTAGAGTGCCTGCCTAGCTTGAGCCTGAGTTCAAACCCTACTTACAAAAACCAAAAAACTCACATCTCAAAGTAAATAAATGTTAACCCAAATGTTAAACAATAAAACATTATTTTCACAGGTCTTCTGATGACTTAGTCCAATAAATGTTTTTGCTTTGGAGACTTCTAAGTATCTCTGTAATACTAAGAAACCTAAATTCTGAAATAATCATTTTACCCATTCATCATCTTCAAGTACCACTAGGAAAAACAGCACAGCTAATGACCTGTTTTGTCTTTCTAAACTCCAGGACATAAACATAAATTCATTGCCTCACAATCGTTTTGTGAGGTAGATCAGTAGGCAAAAAGCATTATCTTCACTCTGCAAATGAAGAAATTGAGGCACTGAAAGGTTACAAGATCTTCCCAAGGCATGCAAGGAGTCAGCCATGAAACTGCAAGCAGTATTACATTACTGTGGCACTCTGATCACATTACACAAAAATGTGCATGTGTGTGTGTCTGTGTGTGTTAAACAGGTTAGATGACCTTAAATTCAGAGTGAATCTATCAACTGATAGTAATTTTAAAGGGCTTTAATCTTAAAGATTATAAACTCATAGATCAAAACAATCAGATAATTAGGATGATGCATTATGCTTTTCCATACCTAAACAGAACTATGTCTTCACAATTTTTACATGATAACACTCATTAAAGAACAAACTAAAAATGGAAAATTTATGACTGAGAGAAAGATTACTTTCAAGAAATATAAATCAAGTTGGGCACAGGTGGCTCACAGCTGTAATCTTAGCTACTCAGGAGGCTAAGATCTGAGGATTCAGGTTCAAAGCCAGCCTGGGCAGAAAAGTTTGTGAGACTTTTATCTCCAATAAACTACTCAGTAAAAATCTGGAAGTAGCGCTGTGGCTCAAGTGGTAGAGCACTATTTTTGAGCACAAGAGGCTCAAGGACAGCTCACAGGCCCTGAGTTGAAGCCCCATGATTGGCAAAAAAAAAAAAAAAGGAAAGAACCATAAATCATATTCTTAGGATGACCATATAATTGAACTTCAATAAAGAAACTTGAGAGTTTAAGGGAGCACTAGTCATAATTACAAGGATAATAGATAATAAACTGAGACTATCCTGGGCAAGTTTAAATATGGTCACCCAATGTAGAATTGATTCTGAAAGAATTACAGATACTTTAGGACCATAAAAAATTCCCGGCAAGTACGTTGTGCTCAATCATATTCACCAGTGTGTCAAAAGATAATATCTGTTTGGCTTAAACACAAAGGTTAAAATAGTCAATTTAAAATTATAAGCACATTTAAAAATTATTATTACAGATTTCCATTTTAATATTATTTTGCTATTTTCTATAAGCCCCAATTTAAGTTCTAGTAATAAAAGTAAATGCATTCATATTTTTGCTTTATATAACCAGATGTTTTCTTTTCAAAAAGTGAAAATGGGCACCTTTAAGTAGTAGAGAATTTTTGTGGAATTCTTTGGCTATTAAAAAAAACAAAAAACAAAAAAAAAACCTCCTATTTACCATTAGTGCTTAGAGTTTCTCCTTGAATGGAATAATCAACACTTATGCCAATATGGTAATACCAAAGGTGAGTTTTCTTTCTAAAATGAAAATCTTTTCAAAGCAATAATACCAAAAACATTTTTAAAAATGTTTTTTTAAAAAAGACTGAAAAGAATGACATATTACTTAATTAGAGAACACATGCTAAAGACATTGTCAGTGGATGTATAATCTTAGTTATACATGCAAAAAATCCCATTAATTTGCATACATATTTGAAAAAGAGCTTCTTACATTCAGCTATGTCTGATAAGACTTATTTTAAGACATTGGTTTCGTGAATACCAACATTATCTGAGGTCTTCTTTCACATATGTTTCCTTAAGTAAGTACAAGTTGAACCTACGTTTTAGAAACAGCAAAAATGTAAATCGTAATTACAAAACTGCGTTATCACTTAGTGTGACGTATGGCTTCCTTGAACCTTTGCCTCCTGAAAAAAAATTAATCTGAAACAAACTTAATTACACATTCTCAATATACATTGGTCTTTATCATGAGTCAAACCCTTCCACTATAGGTGTACTTCTAAGGCAGATACTTAGAGAATGGTATGTAACAAATCCTATTAGCAAAGATGATACTCAATTCAGTGAACTAAACAACCTATTAGTACTAAGATGTAATTAATTATCTGTAACGTTTTGTTTTCCTGACACTTTTTATCAAGAGTACAGAGGAATTTTGGGAGCACACAAACATCCATAAAGGCTGAACTGATGTGTTGTTTTAGATTAGTTGTTCCATAATTTTTTTTCTGATTTTAAATATCTTCAAATATTACACTGGAGGACATTGAAAGATATCGACCACCAGGCTGATACCTAAAAGATGAACAAAAAAATTATCTGAATCATCAAACGTAAAAAAGGAAAAAAGAAAATATATTGTTTCAGTAAAAAAAAAAAAATCAAGTCAATAGCTGAAAGTAAAAACTTACTATTTACTTAACTGTAAATCAACCAAAAATGGTGTCTAGAGTACATGTAAGACAAAGTGAAGAATATTTTTTAAAAAAGGACAAATATAAGATGCATCCAGGAGATTGTTAGTTTAATAAACTTAATTATCAAATATAAATAGAATATTCTTGTTTTGCTACTTATAGATAATAATACATTAAACATCTTTATGTATGTGATAATTTGCTTTTATTTTCTCATGGGACAGTTGGAAAAGATACAGTCTCTAATATCTGAGTTTTCCTGAATTGCCATTTATAAGCTGTTTATGTATTTAAAATGCAACTGGATTTCAACCACAAATAAAATATTGTTAAAGTATTTAGATTGTGTCTGATATCAAGATATAATTATGTCACAACTGATAAATTAAATCAACGTTATAATGAGATTGTCATAGATATAATTCTTTGCTACATATATTCAACTTTTTTCTTATTTATAACACTAGTGTTATACTGTATAATTATACAGTATATAATTTTGTAATTATAATTATAAAATAATATAATAGTATATAAATATAATATATGAAGATACCAATTCCAATTCCCACTATTTGAATGCTAAATTTTCAAATATAAAAGAATTAGAGGGCAAGAAAAGACATCAAAAGTCATTTAATTTTTTAGTAGTAGTAAAACTGAGGCTATAACTAAAGTCTCATATTGGTAAGTATGTTACCACTAGGTTACATCCCCAGCTGAACATTTTTTTATATTAAATTATCACTTGTTTTCAACCTTGTCAGGTTAGTATATCAATAAAATTTCAGATAATTGGAACTTGCCTTCCTGATTCAGATTCAAGAGGATCATCAGTGAATGTTTCTGCATTAAAATCCAAAGGTTCTGCATCTTGAAGAAGTTCTATTCGGTCCCTTTCAGTCCTATTGTTAGCCCTAGTATACTTGGATGCTGCTCAAAAGAAGAAAACAAATGTCTATTATTGTCTTTTAATTTATGAATTCAAAGAAAGAAAAATCAAGATTAGAAATGATCCGAATTTTTATTTTAACAACAAACAAGAGATGATAAAACTACATGGTTCTTTAAAAATCAGTTGAAAAGCCAGGCACAGGGGTTCAAGCATATAATCTTAGCTATTTGGAGGTAGAGATCAAGGAATCTTGGTATCAGGCCAGCTTGAGAAAAAAGAAAATTGAGAGACACTATCTCAACCAATGGCTGGGAAAGTTGGCACGTACCTGAGGTAACATAGCTGTTATATGAGCTACAGGGAAAGCACAATGACTGAATATAGTGGTGCATGCCTGTCATCCCTATCACACAGGGTAGCACAAATTGGAGGATTGCAGCAATGGCCATTCTGGGCATAAAACAAGACTCTGCCTTGAAAATCACCAATACAAAAGGGGGCTAGAAGTATAGGTCAAGTGGTTCAGGCTTTGTCTAGCAAACATGAAACCCTGAGTTCTACCCCCAAAATACTAAAGCATAAAAATTAATATGAATCAAAATTAATATTTAACTGTGTCATTACAGTGAAGTTGTTTCTTATCAAATGAAATGTCAGTTGGCTTCATAGTGAATTTTATATTTTGTTTGTGATTATAAAAACATTCTAAATAGATATCCACTCAGTATCTATGTAGGCAAGCATAAGAAAATACTTTCTAAGCCAGCTAGAAAACAAAATACTCACACCAATTGGTATTAATATCTGAGAAATTGGACTCTTTGGGATCAGGATGAACATTTCTATTTCTGGTAGAATCTTCTCTATTGTGTCCATATCGTTCTTTCCATTCCTAGAAAAGAAATACAAATAAATATGTAACAAAAGAACAGAGAATAATTAATCACTAGTAATATATTCTATACACTTAGTATAATGTAAATATTACCATTACAAAACTCATAAGTAAGCTGGGAACTAGTACCTCATGCCTGTAAGCCTAGCTACTCAAGAGGCTGAGATCTGAGGATCATGGGTCAAAGCCAGACAAGCAGGAAAGTCTGTGAGACATTAATCTCCAATAACCTACTCAGAAGAAGCCAGAAGTGGTGCTGCGGCTCAAGTGGTGAGACCTAGCCTTGAGTACAGAGTAAGTCATGGACAGAGCCTGGACCCTGAGTTCAAGCCACAGGACCAGCAAAAAAAAAAAAAAATCATTACTAATCATTATAATTGTCATAATGAACTTAAGAAACAACAGGCCAATGTATATATCTTTATGTGATTTGTTAAGACTAGTCTATATATGCTTTTTTTATTCTGCTTATTTGAACTCAAGGCTTTCTGTTTTCCAGACAAGTGCTCCACTATTTGAGCCATGCCTTTTGTACTTCATTTATTTTTAGGATATGCTCTTGCAATTGGCTCCATGACTAATGTTGGACCAGGATCCTTCTGCCTATGCCTTCATGTAAATGGAATAATATGCACATGACAGTATGCACAGATTTTTTTACCCCTCCTGGCCTCGAACCAGGACCATAATGACCACTGCTTCCTAAGTAGCTAGGATTGTAGGTGTGTGGCACTACACCAGACCCTATAAGCTTTAATTTTTAATGAAGACATTTATAGCCATTTTGCTAGCTCTGATTATAACTTATTATTCTAAAAATGTAAAAATTATATCAGGCATGTTAAATAATATGTTTCTCTTGATGATATATTATGGAAAACATAAATGATTAATGAGATTTAATAAAATTTCATTTCACTTAAACTATGAACAAAGTTATTCTTGATGGCAAAATCATAGTTGTATAAAAGCATAACAAAATGATGACTCAGATTGTGCTCCTATGAACACAGTAAAATCATAGTTAGCTGAGGTTCTATTCATTAAATTGAAACTATTTGATGTGACCTAATTCCACCTTCCAGGCAGTGCAAGGAATCATTTTTCTATGCGTAAGCAATCTACTGTAATTTTAGTAAATTGTGAAAGTAAAAACCTATTCACAATAGCCAAACTACAGGATCAGCCTAGGTGTCCATAAGCCTATGAATGGAAATCGAAAATATAGAATCCAAAAAGCATGAAACTATATCATTTGAAGAAAAATGGATAAAAATGGAGACCATCAGGTTACGCAAGATAAGCCAGAGTAAGACAAATATTGTCTTTTCCCTCTTACATGTTGCCTAAATTTAGAGATAAAAAAGGAAAGTATATGGGTGAAATGATTACTGTTTAGGTATGGGAACCAGCAAGAATGGGGAGAGTAAGAGGGTAAAGAGAAAGTGAATCTCCTCAAAATACTTTACATGTATGAAAAGAAAATTAATTTGTGTTTGAAAGGAAGGAAGATGAGAAAGCGAAACTGAAGAAAAGAATTTGGCCAAAGTTCACTATATACATGTATAGACATATAATGAAACCTCTTAGTACAATTAATTTAATGCTAATAAAAGAAGAAAAAGGAAGCCAGGCATTGGTTACTCACTCATGCCTGTAATTCTAGCTACACAGAAGGCTGAAATGAAAATCGCAGTTCAAAGCCAGCCCAAGCAGAAAAGTCTATGAGACTCTTAATTCAATTAACTACTGAAAAGCTACAGGGCTGGGAAGGTGGCTCAGTGGTAGAGTGCTTGCCTTGCATGCATGAGGCCCTGGGTTCCATTCCTCAGCACCACATAAGGAGAAAAAAGCCATAAGTGGCGCTGTGGTTCAAGTGGTAGAGTGCTAGCCTTGAGCTGAAGGGCGGAGGGACAGCATCCAGGCCCAGAGTTCAGGCCCCATGATAGGACCAAAAAAAAAAAAAAAAAAAAGCTACAAATAGCACTGAAGGCCTCCAGTTCAAGCTCCAGGACCAGCATAAAACAAATAATTAAAAGGGGCAGAAAGAATAAGATAAACAGAACAACAACAAAAAAGAAGTGAAATCTATCTTAGGAATTTCTGTTCTTTGATTCCAGTTATACCTGAAACAAAGAGCAAGACTTTCTTTAACATGAAGATATACAAAGATAACGATCAAGTCTCCTTTTAGTCTTCATTTCACCAGTGTAAATATACCCAGGTGTTAAGTCTGTGGTAAACATGGATAATTTTTTTGTTTCTATTTTAACCAACAGTAGGGAGGTTAGTTTCCCTCAGGAAATGGAGCACTGAAGAGAAATTAAGGAGGAAAATAAAATGCCATACTATAAAAAAGAATAGTCACTTAAAAGCAATCAAAATGACTTTAACAGCAAGACTTTTTTACTTATTCAATAAATATTTACATCCTTTAGGCAAGAAACTGATATTTGACACAAATAAAGTAATTTTTATTTAGAAGCTTTCTAAGCAAACTTGAAAGAAAGAACATTTGGCATGTGTATGTGAAAGTATTAAAATTGTCCCTTTAAAAATAAATTCTATGCCATTTTCCAGTTTTTCTATCTTTAACCACTTTTTTCCAAATCAGTAAGATTCCCATATTTCACACTATTCTCTGGTTTCATCAATTTAACAAAATATTGTACTTACTCTTCTTCGATTTTCACCTTCTTCTTGTCTTTGCCTTTTCCTCTTCTCTAAACACAGAAAAATGGCCTCAAATTTCAGGTAATAGAACTTAATAAGATATAGAGTAACTGATGTAAAGTTATCAGGGTAGAACTAAAAGTTTTTATAAATTACTACAAAATTAAAAGTAATAGGTTAATGCTAGAAAGGATCTAGGGGAATGTCTTCTCTGTTTTTGTTAGAGGTGGCATTTGTAATCTTGTCTAAATAAATTTAGTGAAGGAAAAAGTTCTCCCTGGTAGTGACCTGGAAGTTATTTCTCTGTACTCTCTAAGTACAGAGAAGTAAGGATGAAACTATGTTCAGGTTGTGGGGCCTGAACTCTGGGCCTGGGCGCTGTCCCTCAGCTCTTCAGCTCAAGGTTAGCGCCCTACCACTTGAGCCACAGCACCACTTCCGGCTTTTTCTGCTTATGTGGTGCTGAGGAATGGAACCCAGCGCCTCATGCATGCAAGGCAAGCACTCTACCACTGAGCCACCTTCCCAGCCCTTCATCCTTATTTCTAAACTAAGTTCATGCCTTCTTTGTATATAATTTTTTTCCCTTATTCATCTGTGCAGGTTATATACTCAGTATTTAGGATATCTCCCCACATCTTAGGACATGCCTCCATGCTTATTTGTGAGAATCTTGGGTCCTGAAGTCTAATCAATGCAATCATTAAACCATTAGAACCATTATATCAACTAGATTCTACTTTCACATTGGTAGACCAATGCCCACAGATAAGATTTCTATCACCATCATACTATCACTTGAGTATAGGTAAATTTAGTATATTCAACTTTGTGATTAGATTGTAGAAGAATGTTATATATTCTAATAACAATCAAATTCTCACATCAATGATCATCGCATCTAAAGAAAATAGTCCTGGTTTAAATCATTTACCATGCAGTATCAAACTGATGATTCTTTAAATTTATATTTATAGTAATCGGCAGCTATGTTTTGACACAATCATGGAAACAACTCTTTTATCGTTTGGATGTTAAATGTCCTTCAAAGATCTATATGCTAAAGTTTTAGTCATCAGCATATAGCACTATTTGAAGATGGGGTAGCCTTTAGGGGATAGAGCTAGTGAAAGGAAGGAAGGTCACTTTGTCATGCTCTTGAAGGAAATACTTAGATCCCACCCCTTCCCATGTATTTCTTTGCTTCCTGATTTGCATGAGGAGATCTGGTTTCCTCTATCCCAGGGCTTACCACCAAATTGTATTGACACAGGTCCAAAAGCAGAGGGACCATGTGACCATGGACTAAACTTTTAAAACTGTGAGTCAAAATATGCATTTCCTTCTTGTAAGGTGTTTATCTCAAATATTTAGTAAAAAAAAAAAAAAAAAAAAACCAGAAAGCTGATGAGTACAAACTAAAATTTGGTTTAGTTACAGACCTAATAATTATGCTATAAAATTTCTTACAGATGTGTTTTTAAATTATTTTTGGTTTTTGCATTTTTGAACTCTCTTTTCTTAAGAAAGCTAAATGTGTATTTTGGGCTAAAAGCACTGTATAACTTTATAAGACCTTAAGATAGATGAAAAGTCATTTATAAATTATTCAAACATTAATTTTATATTTTGAGTCTTAGCACTTAATATTTTCTCTTCATTTACTTTAAAAGACAAATCTTACCTCGTCTGATTAATTCCTTCCCTTCATCAACTAAGTCTGATGTCATATCATTATCTCCCATGAACTGTTGGAAACCAAGCAGATTCAAGCAACGGGTTCCTAAACTAATAAAAGCAGATGTTCAAAAGATAAGCATTGCTTCCTAATGTAACTATTCAGAGAAATTATTATTGAGTATTGCCACCCACAAAAAAACCTATGGTACATAATTAGTTATCATGGCAAGTTACAGAGTGTTATATCCTATATATTCTTGAAGAAGTACTATTTCCCTATCTAAGAAGTTTTTCCTAGTATTTTCCTAGTATAGGGTGTGGATTACACCCAGATTTCTTATGCAAGTAAACAAGGTCAAGCCATCAGTATATCTTCATACACAATTATACCAGGATTATACAATTATGTAATGGTTATATTACAAGAATAATCTGTTACAGCAACTTTAATACTGAAACATACTGTAAATCTAGTATTTCAAGTGCAAGATATTTTGGGTTAGAAAGTCTTTATTTATGAATTTATTTTCATGTTTTATTTTTTCCCTAAGGACTAGTCAGTTCTTAATAGCTCCTGATTATATACTATAAAGTGATTACTATATCTCAACTGTGGCTATCAATTCCCATTTGATTTGCTATTTACTTTAAATCTGACTGTTGTGCAGGAAAAGAGTATTCTGAATGTACAGCAGATTTAAAAAAAAGAAGAAAGAGGTTGATAAAGTAGCATTAATTTGTTAAGATTCTACTGTGCATCAGATAGTTCATAGGTCTTATATTCAATCCTTACTATATCCTAAAAAAATGTTACTTATACATAAGCAAACAAGTTCAAGAGACTAAACAGATACTTAAAGATAGCTTAATAAATTACAGATCTGATATTTAAGTCCAAGATTTAAAAAAAAACCCAAGTTCTTTTTATTGTACTTAGTTCTTAAACTTTTTCACTGATGTACTTCTAATAGCAGAAACCTGATGCAAACATGTAGAGAGAGGCAAAGATAAAGATGGAAGGAAAAGCTGTATGTGTAAAAAAAAACAGAAGGACAGCGAAAGTGAAGATCTCCAGTTTCCATTAAAAATGGGTAAACATCTGCCTGATTCAGAATATATGTGCTTGTTTTATATATTAAAAATGTTTTACATGAATTATCACTGAGTGAATGTGAAGTTTTCAGGCAGATAATCATGCTATTTTGTGACTTTAAATAATCCTTTATTATAATTATACCCTTGTAGGAATACTATGTACCAGGATACATACTAGTACTAGTCTTTGGGAAAGTCTTATTTTTCTATAAAGTATCAAGAAACAACCTTAGCTAGGCAGCTAAGGCTAAGTATTAGCTATGGGCATAACTGTACGCTTCTAATGTAGGAATTAGACTAACATGGCAAATGAAACATGACATCATGGCCAATGAAAATGTACATATAAAGCTGAAATGTTACTAAGACATTGCTTCACATACTTATATAAGAGGATACTTAATTTGAAAACTGAGGAATATGACCTTTTTCCCTAAAGGTAAAATGGCATTCAACATTATACTAATTAACAATTCAAAAGTTTTCTTTTCTTTTTTCTTTTCCCCCTTCCTTCCTCTTTTCTCCTTTCCTTCCTTTCTTTCCTTCTTTCTCTTCTCCTCTCCCTTCCTCTCTTCTTTCCTCCCTCATCCATTCTCTTTTCCTTCCCTCTTTTTCTTTCCCCGTCCTTCCCATCTCATCCATTCCCTTTCCTTCCCTCCTATTTTCTCCTTTGTTTCTTTGGCTTTCTTTCTCCCTTCCTTCTTTCCTTCCTTTTCTATCTTTCCCTCTTCACACTTTTCCTCCATCCCCCACTCCATCCATTCTTTTTTCCGTCCCTTCAATTTCCCTTTTCTTTCCTTTTTCCCTCTCCCCTCCTCTTTTCTCCCTTCCTCCTTCTCTTCCCTCCCCCCTTTCTTTATAACTGTCCTTTTAGATATAATGTTCCTTTACAATTAAGATTTTATGGCTGACAAAGTACTATTGTAAATCAGAACATCATAAGTACTAAGATTTCATCTCAAATGCTAATACTGCCAATATAACTATTAATATAGAAAGACATCATTTATATTTTATAAGCTTTTAGTGTTCCATAAAACATGTAAATTCTTAAATGAGTAAGTAGTTAATCAAAACTTAGTTTTGTATGTACAATGTATGCTTACTCTCTTCTTTTAATACATCATTTTCGCAGTACAAGTCTGTTATTATCTTTTCTACCTTAAAGGAAAAATTCAAAATATTAGTTTTGCTATCAGTTCATATTAACAATACTATTTTATTTCTTTAGTGGCACTAGGGTTCAAACTCAGGGGACTATGTGCTTGCTTAGCTTGCTTGCTTAGCTCATGCTCCACTAATTGAACCACACCTCTGTCATGTTGTTTTGCTGGTTATTTTGGAGATGTGATATTGTAGATTTTTCTACCCAGGCAGCCTCAGGATCTCAGACTTATGAGTAACTAGGTTATAGATGTGAGCCATGGGTGCCTGTCTAGCAGTATTATTTTTTTTATTATACTCTTCTAGCTTTTTATTTATCATAAATTAAAACAAAAGTATTTTAAAAATTGAGAACGAAGTTCTTTTAAACAATTTCTGCTTTCTAATTACCCTAATATTAGTATATTTTATTTATAATAATGATATAATGATATTTAGTTTTTAAACGGAAGTAAAATGATAAAATTTATTTTCATTAGAAAAACAAACTGATTCTAACAGGGTGCTAGAAGCCAAACATACCTATCATTTAATTCATTTTGAATCTTACCTCTGCCAAATTCTACTATCTTCTCTAATTCCATAAAAAAAAGAGCAGTCCATATAATTTCAAAAGTAAGAGGAGGTTCCTTCTTCAGCCCTACACATACATCTTGATTATAATTGTTCCCCTTCTAACCCTTTGCACTGTCCATGGTCTGAAGCATCTAGACACCCAGTGATAATTATAGAGAAACCCCAAAGACTGAGTTGTTTTGTAAGAGAATACAGGAATGAAGGAGTTTTACAAGCTACAATGCCAATCATCATCACAAGGAAGACTTATGAGTTAACATTCTGTAATTACATACTTTGAGGCTTAAATATCGTAAAAGAATAACATAACTTTAAATTTTTATTAAAGAAAGAATATGACCTAATCACTCAAGTAGTCCCTTCAAACAGCTCCTTCCCCCAAGCCACAATAAAACAAAACCCAACCAGTAAATATTTAAAAGATTTTTAGGCAAAAAGAATATCTAGATACAACTAAACATGAGAAAAAATAGTATTATATAAGTTTCTTACCTAAAGTAAGTTGCAATGCAGAGGATTACTACCAACATAGGGTAATATATGTAGAATCCATCTGCAATAAAGGATAAAACTTTCATGGAACCCATAATCTGAAAAGCAAGAAAAAAGTAAGTTAAATAAACATAGTTTTATATTTTCATCCTTTTCATCATTAGAAAATTTGCTTATAACAGAACTGTCAAGGATTTCTACTAAGGAAAACACATGTTTAATAAGTATCATTCAAAAGTACATAAAGACTATAAATACAAAAGCTGATACTACTACAGATGAAATCTTTGGATCCAGCAAAACAACCTATATGAACTAAAAAACTTTTTCATAATAAGATATGCAAAAACACTTTAATTCAGTCATTAGTGATTATAATTGTTTAAGTTGTAGTTATTAAAAAGGAATCCATTAATGCTATAAAACTTTTGTAATAGTATTTAAAGAAATTTGACAATAACAACATCTCATATAATGAAATTAAAGAAATCCATTTTCTGACTGTACTTACAGATGTATAAGCAGTTGGCTGAGTATTCTGGTGAGAGATGGATGCATCCATATGGGTCAAACCCAAGAAATTAAGACATAATGGAGGAGTCAAACGGCAAAACAACCTGCAGTCGACATTAAAAAGACCGATCATGCAGTAAAATATATCTTAAGTTATAGAGAAATGTATTAAAATATTTCATATCATCCTAACTATATTTGCCATATATATATGTGTGTGTGTGTGTGTGTGTGTGTATATATATATATATATATATTATAATTTTTAAAGTGAATTGGTCTTCCCTGGGAAACATCTTGAAAATCCTATTAAGCACACTTCCCTCAAAAATACTGATATTTACACAGTAGAACAACTGCAGCCTCAGGCTGCCTGCTATGATGGTATGTGCTACTGCTCTATCACTGTGGCTTGTGGACAGATCTTACATATATCTCCTTCAGCTTCACTATCCGTGTGCCTGTTTCACAGTTTGACAAGGTCAGTAGCATTCTCAAGGGGAACTGTACTCAGGATATGAAAATTTTTTTTTTTTTGGGTCCAGTCGTGGGGCCTGAACTCTGGGCCTGGGCACTGTCCCTCAGGTCTTCAGCTCAAGGCTAACACTCTACCACTTGAGCCACAGTGCCACTTCTGGCTTTTTTCTTTATGTGGTGCTGAGGAATCGAACCCAGGGCCTCAGGCATGCAAGGCAAGCACTCTACCACTGAGCCACCTTCCCAGCCCCAGGATATGAAATTTTTTAAGTTACTATAGCAAAGAGTAGCATCCAGATAGGTACAACTATAAAGAAGGGTTTAGTTTGTCCCAATAAAAGGAATACTTTATAAAATTACAGAGTTGGCGAACTGAAAGATAGAATAATGTAAGGATGTAACCATTAAGAGGTAATATGAGAAAGTTCTTTCATGCTGACCAAACATATCCTGATGGTAACATTGGCTGCAGGATTGAAAAATTGTGATAAATCTGTAGTGTGTTTAACAATAGTGTTTTAAGGTAAATTTTCTCATTTTGATATTGTACACAGATATAAAAAAAAATCACCATTAGCAGCTAGGTACAGTGGTTCACTCCTGTAACACCAGCTACTTAGGAGGCAAATACCATGAGAACTGAGCCTTAAAGTCAACCCGGGTAAAATATCCCTAAGACCCGATTTTAACTAATAAAAACCTGACATCGTGGCATGCACCTGTCATCCCAACTACCTTGGAAGCATAGATAAGATTATTATGGTTCAGGCCTACAGAGCCATATTCAAAATAAAAACTAAAGCAATAAAAGAGCTAGCAGTATGACTCACATGTTAGAGTACCTGCCTAATAAACTCACTATAGAAGAAAGAGGAGAAATTGAAGATGATATTACATTAGAAGAGGTTGGCAGAGGTTATATAGGACACCAGTAACCTGCAACTTCCTATAAATTCATATTATGGTTTAAATATGAAATGTTCCTCACTAGGGTAAAGGCATGGTCTTCATCTGGTGATGCTATTTTGGGAGGTGGTAGAAACTTTAAGAGGTGGAGCTTAGCTACAGAAAGTAGGTCATAGGGAAGATGCTACAGAAATATGTACTTAGTCTCAATATGTGTGTGTGTGTGTGTGTGTGTGCGCGCGCGCGTGCGCACACACGTACATTTTGTGGCTGCCATGAGATGATTATTAGCGCTCTGCCCTGCCAAAGCAATGGGACCAAACTACTATGGATTGAAACTTCTGAAAGTGTGTGTCGAAATAAATCTTTCACTGGGCACTGGTGGCTCACACCTATAATCCTAGCTATTCAGAAGGCTAAAATCTGAAGATCACAGTTCAAACCCAGCTTGGGCAGGAAGAGCTAAGGGACAGCATCCCGGCCCAGAGTTCAAGCCCTGTGACTGACAAAATAAATAGATAAATAAATAAACCTCTCAAACTGTTTATGTCAGACACTGTTCCAGCAACAAGAAACTGATTACTAATACAGTCCATAATTATTTGTAAAACAAAGAAGTTTTAAAGATGCTTCCAAAGTAGACTCTGGTATCTCACACCTATAATTCTACCCCTGAAGGATCAGAGTTAAAAGGAAGCTCAGCCCATGGTTTCCCTTATTTGCAATATCTAGTTTATGTCTGAGTCAAGCAGAAAAGGTCAGGTAAGGTGATGTTAGGGAAATGAACCCTAAGATATGTATTCAAATGTTTTTTTCTTTCATGCAATTGTTTCTAACACATTTATAAGACTATTTCTTTGTATGTCCCTCCCCCACGGTATAACCCCTGCTTTCACTGTATTTGATTGATGTCGGTATAATTTGTGGAGGGGAAGGGGAAAAACAAATCATTTAAATAGGGATACAGGTGGGCCCACTGCAACATTGAGATGTACAAGTTGCTATGTCGAAAACGAACTTTATAACTTTGGTGGGGGGGGCGGGGAGGATTGGAGGGGGGTGGGGAGAGGATGGGAAGGGATGGGAAGGGGAAACAAAGGAGGAGGCTACAATGCTTGATAAGAAATGTACTCATTATCTTACTCATGTAATTATAACCTCTCTGTACAGTATTTTCACAATAAAAAAAAGGAAGCTTGGTAGAAAAGTCCAATAGATTCCATATCTAATTAATCAGGAGAAAAAAAACCAGCTTGGAGTTACAGCTCCAGTGATAGACAACTGTGAGCAAGCAAGCTGAGCACAAGGCCTAAGTTCAAGTCTCAATAATGTGTGATCATGCATATACGCATGATGTTTCCCTATCAATCCTTCTATGAACTTCACTGATAACAGCCCTGACAAATACCTTATATTACTAATTTAACAAAAAGGGATAATAGATGGTGCAACCTAGCCAAAGCTAGAGTCATCTCACTCAATTCTCTCTAAATTCCACAATAAAAATTGTTCCTATTGTTTTTTTCAGTCTTTTTCAATTCAGACAAGACTACTGACTTTCAGAACACTCTCCAGGTCTGACTTAGTCTCTAAACACAATTGCTTATATTCCTTACTTACCTATATTTTAAATCTCTAATTGGTAAGGTCAGGTTATGTTTATTTTTTCTTGTAATTTAGCCATAGGCAAAATCTAGTTGGTAATCAACAAACACTAACATTTAAAACAAATCAACTAGCTTATAGAAATACTCATGTTAATGCAACATCCATGAACAAGAAATAAAAGAAAGGATCAATATTACATTCAATGGAGATATAGCTCATTTTTAAAGTGAATGTTACTTACATGCCACTGAAAAGAAGACTGTAAGCATCAGTCTGGTGATGAGAAGCCAAGTAATAATAGTTAAATACACGAATCCTGAATACAGTAGAATAAACACAGATACTTAGAAAGAAGATGGAAAGGAAGCAAGCAATCTGGAACAGAACAACAAAAATAAAGTTCAGAACCAATAGACTTCATTATTTTACATACTGATACAAGCCTTACTTTTCATTTTCAGTTAATTTGTTATCTGAGAAAAGTGAGAGCTAATAGGAGTAGAGAAGATGGAGAGAGAAATAGAGAAGAATATAGTCATAATACTATGTTAAAATGGAACCAGGAGGTAGATGGGGTTGGGAAAAATGGAAAGAGAATGATGAAGAGGTGACACTGATCAAGATGCAGTACACATATAAACAGTAATTTGGAACCTCTTTGTACAACTACTTGACAATAATAAAAAATAAATAACCCAAGAAAATGAAATCTTGAAAAAAATCTATATTTTATATCAGTTCAATAGTCTAGATCCAAATGTGTCAAATTCCCCAAATACGTTGCTTTCCACTTCCCTTGGCAACTCTTCACATGAAGGCTATTAAGTGATGACCTTACTGACATGAGAATCAAAGTAGTCTCAAAAAATAATTTTGTACTATCTTGTACCTTTTCACCATTCCTCATATATAGTTCTTAATATTTATAGTAAATTAATGAAAGCTATTTCTGGAAGTCTGAATTACAACACTGTGGGAAACATCACTGCTTATTATTACTAGAACAAATATTTGAGAACAGATATAATAGTTAAGTATCATACATGAACTGACATATATCTAGGATAGAAAGGAAATAAACTGACCTCAATATAAATATAATTGTATGTTTTTTCTGCAAGTTGGATGAAGACTGCGAACAGGGATAAGACAGGAGTTGTGCTAAAGAATGTGCACTCTGACCACACAACAATCACAGAGAAAATGGATAACACCACAGCAAGTATCCTGTAAAACCATGGTCTCAAAAGACATTCCCAGTACCACTCTGGAAGATTAAAAAAATATATACAGTTAAGCAACTGAAAAAGTAGCAGGGCATTTTTCACTGCTTCAAAATGGCCAACCAATAATTACAACAGATAATTACAATTTACAGTAGAGAAATCAGGCTGACGTGGCTTTTGCTAAAGAATCACCAGAAATGGAATGAATGGGTAGCCCATGTGTTTCCTTCCATGATTCACTGAGAATACAACATTATTGCTGAGGTACTTCTGTGAAAGATGTATAAACTGTATCTAATTATGAGGACATACTGTACTCAAATTCAAGGATGTTCAACAAAAAAAAAAACTGCCCTGTACCCACCAAAAATGTGTTGTAAAATATATATAAGACTGGGAAACCATTTCAGATTAAGAAGACTGAGAAGATCTAGGAATTTTTTTCAAATAATATCACTAAGGTAATAGGACAAAATATAGACAAAGACTATAAGTAATAGTATAACACCAATACTAATTTCCTAATTTTGACAATCATAATTACGAAAACATATCTTTATTTTTAGAGAATATACACTGAACCACTTAAAGACCAAGAGGCATCATCTCTGGATACAATTCTAAAATATTAAGGGGGAACTATACAAAGATAAAGCCTTGCATATGAGAGTATTTTGTGAGATTCTGATTTATTAAGTCTAAATTAATAATATTTGAACATCTATATGATGCTGGGGCTTGAACCCAGGGCCTCATGCATGCCAGGCAAGTTGTCTTTCATTGAGATATACCTCCAAACAAAACTGTATTTCTATTTTGTGCACTGAAAAATGAGCTCCTGGCTCACTGTAAGACATTTTACCTCTACCCTTAACATAATTCCTGGTGGTTTAAATATCCATGTAGGTAAATCTTTCAACAAGTTGCTCTCTTATACCTTCCCTTCCCATCCTCTCCTCTAATGATCTTGTCCTCTACTCTACCTCAAAGACTCATTCTAGATCTTCCCCTAAATCTTTTATTGCCAACAGCTTCAATCCTTCCATATAAAGTAATTCCATCATCCTTATCTCACAGTGGTACACTTATTTATATTCTGACTATTGATATGTTACTTGGACCAACAAAACATTCTATGCCTTTTTAACATTATCAAACAACTCGATGTCTTTATTTCTTCCTTATCCACTTCAGATTACAGTTCTTTTGAGGATATCCTCTCTCCAGTATCCCAGTTCCTGTAACACTGGAGAAGAAACACACACAACTTTAGGGTCTGGTTTCCAAGTTCTTTTTTTTTTTCTTTTTGCCAGTATTGGAATTGGAACTCAGAGTCTTGGCCCTTGCTGTACTTAACTTGCTCAGTTTTGCTTGTTCAGCTGGTGTTCTACCACATGAGCCATGCCAGCAGCCCAGCCTTTTGCTGGTTATTCTTTTTGCTGTAATTCTCCAATATTTCATGGGCAACTATTTTGCCTAGGGAAAAACTCCTTTCCTATACTTATTCTCAGTATTTCCCTAAGGAAATCGAAGTGATCAGAAGAAAATTTCCCCACATTTTCACCACTACATCTTTTCAGTGCCTAAGATACATCTATGCCCTTCCTGTAATGTAATACTATACTCTTCATTACTATCTCATGTCACCTCTCTTACTACTCATAAACACTTTCCCATAATTCTTTACTACCTTATTAACCGTCCTTTCTTCATAATGCCAGTCCCGTATTACCTTCTTTACTTTTTTTTTTTCATACCTTACCCCTAATCCTCCACCAGTACTTCTTTTTTTGAAAGGAAAAACTCCCACTGGCTTCAATTGTTTTCCTATTTCTTATATTTTCCAATAAGGCTAACTCTTTCCTACCTTATTACCCTGAAATCTAATCATCAAGTATTATTCACAATATGACCATTTTGCATCATTCAAGCAGGTACTTTACACACCTTTTTTCTCAGAATACTGGGTTTTCCTCCTATCTCACTGGCAACTTTTGGTCTTTTCTGCTGTTCTTCCCAATTAATGTAATCTCTAAAGTCAGATTGCCATCGACTTGGACTTTCTCTCTTTTCTACCTCTAACACTTCTTGACCCATAACTAACTACACTAATGGCTTACTAATTTAAATTTCCATCCTAAATTTCTATCCCTAACTATCTACTTAACATCCTTATTTATACTGTCATATGTTTATTACCTGTTTTACTCCATAGAACAAGGATTTTTGTCTCTCTTAATTTATGTGCACTGAGCACTCAATTATACATAGCATTTATATATGTTGAATCATTCCTAAATTTAACTAGAAAAAAAATTTCTTAAAGAAGTTTTCTGACATATTTGTCCTGGCTGTTGTTTCCACACTAAAGACCAAACACACAAAAAAAGCATCAAGTTAATATAACAGCTTAAATAAATAAGATTATGTTAACTACAGGGTGTAGGTTTTATAAATAAGACTCATAAGTGTAGTAACTAAGTAGAGCATCTTAAGGGAATATTTAATAGTATGTGAAGCCTAAAGAAAACTCAAACCTGTAATATAAAATTGCTTACAACTATATTTTATGCATATACAAAATAAGATTGAGTTACTGCATATATGTTATATAGAATTTTAATTATTTAAACTAGCAGTAGAAACTGATAGATATGCTCTATGACAAGTAAAGCAGTTATCTAAGGGAAAGTTTATCAAATATACAATATTATCATATTGCATAAATCAAATAATGCAAGGAAACTTCAGTTTTGCATTGGTGAAAATATACTATTTTTTTCCTAAAGAACAAATGATTAAATTTTGAAATTTATATTAAATTACATACCAACTGTAGGATTATAAAAATACTGAATAAACCGATTTTCTGGCTCTGGGGATTGAAACGTGTGAACAAACTGATGAGTGGCACTAGTTTCATTTTTTGCTACATCCTCCAGATAAAATGCTTGTTCCAAAAGAATTTGCCATTGCACTTGAGTTCGACGGTGCCTCTGTACTGAATAAATCACCTACAAAAGAGAAAGGAGGTACATCTATCAGTGTGATCCAACAGTGGGTCCTCATGGTGCTAGGGAATGTTTTTAGTTTATCTGTGTTTGTTTCTTCATGGAATGATGCTAGCAGTATTTATTGGGTGGGTAAAGGATGTTAATATATTTAAGTGATGTAATGCTTCTAATGCCTCCTTCCCAATTGACAAGACAGCCTGATCCAGCGAGTTAAAGTTAATACATTTCAAAGAATAATGCTAATAGTATCAAAAGATGTTTTAGGGACTAAAGCAGTAGCTCAAGCAGCAGGGTGCCAGCCCTGAGTGAAAAAGCTGAGTAAGAGTACAGACCTTAAATTCAAGTCCCAATACAAGGGGAGGGGAGGGGGGAAGTAAAAAAAAAATAGTTTAGGATTCATACAAAATTCCTTTTTGTGAGCAATTATAATAAATCTAATTGAAATCATTTAGCTGTAAGTAAAATAGCTATAATGTTACCTGTTTATGTAGTTTCACTAGACTTTTTTCACTTGGGTAAGTATTGCGCTTTTCATCAAAATCTTCATAATCATCCATGTTCCTACCCATTTTTTCTTGATACTCTGTAGGACACTAAAAGAAACAACCAGACTTTATAAAAAACTTAAAAATATATGATAAACTATTTTTATTAAAAATCTGTCACTCTAAGCTGGGCACCAGTGGCTTATGCTACTCAGGAGGCTGAGATCATGGTTCAAAGCCAGCCTGGGAAGGAAAGTTGTGAGACTCTTATGGCCAATAAACCACTCATAAAACTGGAAATGGCGCTGTGACTCAAGTGGCAGAGTGCTAGCCTTCAGCTGAAGAGCTAAGGGACAGTGCCCAGCCCCAGAGTTCAAGCCCCAGAACAACAACAAAAAAAAAATCTGTCACTTTAGCATTTCTAATCTTCTCAAAAACATCTTCCTTTTGGTATCTCTAAGTGAAGTTTTATTTGCTAATATTTTATGACAATGTTTTAAAAGATAAATTGGGCTTTCTTTTGCCTTTATTAATATTGGTTTTTATGCTCAGATAATTCTGGGTATTAGTAAAGGCAGAGAGTTTATCTCTAAGAAACAATTTGTTTTTGAGAAGATGTTTATTATTAGAAACTTGATAAAAACTGTCAATTACTTTCCTAGCTAAAAAATAAAGACACAATATTCACAATTTCTGAAAATCATAATACAGATAAACACATACACAATTTGGACTATTTGCCATACTATTAGTCATTTATTACATGAACTTGGGCCAAAAAAAAGCTAATCTCTTTGAATAGGACTTGAAAAGTAGCACATATGAAAGAAATGATTAGAAACTATTATTTTAGCCAAAATAATAGTTAACAATTTAGCTAATGGTCAATACAACAGATTTAAAACAGTAATAAAAATGTATTTTAGTGGTTCTGTAGGCGCATAAAAGACAAATGGGAGCTTTACTACTAAGTGCTTTTAGAAGAATAAGTTACCCCTAATTCAACACCACTGTATCAAAATCATAATTGCATGACTACTTATTTAAATCATTAAATCATAAATTATGTATCTCATAATGCTACTGATTTTGTGATATATGAAAAATATCATCAGATCACTAGGAAGCTGATCAGAGATTACTGAGGAACCAGTATATTTTCCTTTAGAAGATGACTCTAATGATGAACTATGGCATCTTAAATGTTGATCCCCATCACTGTTACAGCAGTTATGTTATTCAATATCATCTCTGTCTCCACATTTCAATGGAAAAGACTATCAATAATTACCATCAAACTTGTAGTAACAAAAGAAAAAAATCCAAGTATATTACTGACTTAGTTAAAATTTCCATGAAAATGCATTAGGAAGCCTACCTCTGAGAGGCTTTTTAAATACTTTTCTGATTTTTTGTGGAATACTAATTTATGCAATAGATAAGTATACATTTCATATGAAAATAAATGTAATTTAGTTACCTTTTTAAGTATGGTATCAACACATTTTCTCAATGGGTGGTTATATTTGATGCTTTCATTTACTTTACGAACCTCCTATTAAAAACAGTAAGAAAAATAATATTTCTATTTCTGCAGATTAACATTTCAAGTGAAAATACATTAAATACTATTTATAGTCTCACAAGTTTAATTTCAATTAACTTAGCATTAAATGAAATTCTTTTCACTGATACAAGTTCGTAGGAAGTAAAAACACAAAGAACTTAAATTGCTATATTTATATTCAAATACTTTTTTATTACTTCCTAAATTTGCTATCTTATCATTTTCTTACCCTGTATACAAAAATAGTTGAGCATTATAAAAAAATTCACAATGATTTAATAAATTTGTGTGCTTAAAAAAATAGTATTATAGTAGTCTACTTGCTCATTAAGATCAATTATCTTCATTATCAGTTAAGAAAAACAAGGAGTCAGAAGAAACAACTGACTTCACAAGTCTCTCCTCTCCAAAGAATAGTAGTCACACTGATTTTTCCTTCACATTTGCTTATTTAGATCACAGTTTACATCAACAATGCTAGCTACAAGACCAACATAATCCAACACAGACAGTAGGGTAGAAGAGGATATTATAAGGCTATGAATGAAACTACTGTCTAATAGGAGGTATTAAGTAAGTAATTTAATGAGTACTAATGAGTTAGGTAATCTTTAAAAGTAGTATTTCCTAAGGAATTAAATGTTCTATAATATTTATGAACAAAAATACAAGCTACCAATACTCTAGGCAGAAAAAGCAGCATGCCATGTCCTAGGCCTCAAGAGAGAACTGGCTGGGATATTAAGAACAACATTTTAACCGCAGGATAGAAAAAAGCTTTCAGAGATACAGACCTGTAGTCAAAGAAACCATTTAACAAAATTGTGAATGGATGTTTATAACTTATATGACCAAGAACTCAGCTAAAAATAATCTCTCCTGGTTCTAGTATATTTTTCACTACACCTATAATATATAAAATATATACTAAGTAACTGTTTATCAGAAAAGTTTTTCAATAGCCAGTAATTAGTAATTAAGTTTTTACGGGGTCAAAAATTACATGAATTTTTCAGTTGCCTAAGGTATTAGTGCCCCTAAACTCTCCATTATTCAAGGGTCAATTGTATACTGATAATATAAATTAGAAAATATTAGACAAAGAAGTCTGTGTAAATGTTATTATTATCACCATTATTGAATCCAAGGAACCAAAGTGGAGTGTTAGGTAAATATTAAGTCTACAGAATGGATTACTATACTGCACTGGCAACCATAGGAATAATCAAAGTGACCGGAGTCAGGTAGATAGAGGCTTGGATAGGACAGGACAGCTACAAATGGGCCAAATTATTATATAGGCCACACTGAAACACTTGAGTTTATTCTAACATGAAGGAAAAGCTTTTTCAACCTGAGGTTTTATGTTAAAAAGTAACATCCTCAGAGAAAGAGATTATTGTTAATCTCTTCAAATCCATAATCAAATTATTACTTACCATGGCAAAATTTTTGTAATTTGTTGTGTATGTTTGTGAGCAATATTGAAAGTATTAACTTTTGAGTTACATTCCCAACTTGATGAAGTTGATTCATATCAACTGCATGTCACAAATGAATAAAAGGAAATTTCTTGTTAAAATTACAAACAATATTTGTTGGTACAAACTCCAATGCAAATTGTTCTCTAGAAAGGTTTCCAAACTTGGTGGAACTGCCTTGGGTTATACTGTCTAAGGAAGAAGTATATTCTGATTATTAATTTTGCTTCCAACGTTTGAGTAATTATATAACTTGCTGTCTAATCTGGGAGGCTTTTGAGAGTGAAAGAAAGCATTAATAAAAGTTACCTCAAAATAACAGACATACCCCTATACTTCTGAATATAGTTTCCCTTTATCTTTGCCAGTTAAAAGATAGAGATGACCTCTCAGGAGCTTGAAATTCCATAAGAAGTCAGCCTAGAGAGGAGATGATATCACATTTGTGACTGAAGTCCATTGATGTGTAACAGCAATAAGAAAATAATGACGAAAATAAATTACACACAACTTGTTAACTTCTGCTCTTGTAAGATTTAAATTTGCTTGATTACCTCCATAACATCCTCTAAATTCTCTTCTGCATCTGCTTTCTCTGTCATCAGTTTGGCTGCCTTAAAATAAGTCTTCATAAGTAGATAACCCCTTTTTGCTCCATTCCAGTATGAACGAGGAATTTCCACCAAACCATACCCTAACAACAACACGAGAAGAAAAAGACCCCATGTATTGGCAGCAGCTATCCCGATTGTCTGGAGTTGGTTCCTAAGAAAGAGAAGACATAAGCAGATTGCAATAGTAAATACATTTCCAATAAAGTCTAAAAAACAAAACCTAACAAGTATTAAATGTTTTCTACAGAAAACTACCTTAAAAGATGGTCAACAACATTGTCTTTGACATAGAACTCAAGGTAGACATGACCTTTACCTCAACCTTTTTAAATATCCAGGAGTCCCTGGTACCTGAAAGATCTAGGATGCAGAGTAACAAGTAGAACAATGATGCTCTCTTTGCATACCAGAGCTTGGATACTCTTGGACACATCTCTGTCTATTCTCAAATGAGTCGTCAAAGACACTTCAGGGTGCTTAACTTTGTGTTGGAGTGTTTTTGTTTTGATAATAATCTAAGAAAAATTAATAAAAGCACATCCCGAGAAAATCACAAAAAAAAAGATGGTCAACATTTCATATGAAAAAAATTAGACTTTTATAATCCCAAGTACTTTTTTTTTTCAGTCACAGCAGATAATTTGTGTACTTAACGGGAAGCTTGAGTATAAATGCAAACAATGGTATTTCACACAGGAAATTTTGCTGCTACTGAAATTAAAATTAGAATCTAAGATAATTCATGACAAAATATGTATATATTCTCCAAAAATACTTATACGTATTTGATTATTCAATATTAATGAAGAAAAGCCTGCAAGTTGTTTTTTTTTTCTTTTTGGTCCAGTTGTGGGGCCTGAACTCGGCCTGGGCGCTGTCCCTCAGCTCTTTAGCTCAAGACTAGCGCTCTACCACTTGAGCCACAGTGCCACTTCCAGCTTTTTTCTTTTTGCTTATGGGATGCTGAGGAATTGAACCCAGAGCCTCATGCATGCAAGGCAAGCGCTCTACCACTGAGCCACCTTCCCAGCCCCAAGCCTGCAAGTTTTAAAAAATTAATTTGTGTTAAGGTAGACATACACAAATTGCAGAATGCAACAGTGAGGCATACCCCTACTATTCCATTCCTAAATTTTCAAATCTAGCTCTCCAAAAGTACAAAATAGAGATCAGTTTACTAAAATACCTCAATGTAAATAAATGCTAAGGACAAATATGACCATCAAAACAAAAGGAGAAAAGTAAAAACATTCCAATCAAATAGAAAACCAGGTATTTGTTTTCTTTGCATCTGAAATTATATCTAAAATTGTTATTTCTTTTAACATGTAGTTATTAGTCAAAGCATTTATCAATTACCTAAGTTATATTTAAAGATGTTATTATCTCATATATTCTTTTTAGTGATATGGATTATATAAACATTCACCTCATCAATTTGTCAAACATACAATTCGGTTATATTTCTCAGTGAAAGGTCTGTTAACATACGTGTGTGTCTAATAAAAATTAATAATAAAAAGTACAAAGCCCCTTCAGCTTCAAGCCTGACCAAGGATATAAACACTCTAAACTTTTCTTTATGAGATAACACATTTCTACTTCTAAAAGCACTTTTCTAGTCTAATAAGCTATTACTTAAAAAAATAAACTATTATATTCATTTAAAATAATAAAGTAAGTAAAAAATAAAAATAAAAGTGCAGCTGGGTGCTGGTGGCTCATGCCTGTAATCCTCAGGATGCTGAGATCTGAGAATCATAGTTCAAAGTCAGCCTGGGCAGGAAAGTCTCTGAGACTCTTCTCTTCAATTAACCACCAGAATATTGAAGTGGCACTGTGGCTCGAAGTAGTGGAGCATTAGTCTTGAGCAAAAAGAGCTCAGGGACAGAGCCCAGGTCCCAAGTTCAATCCCCATGACCAACAACAACAAAAGTCAAACATAAGTTTCTTAAAATGTTTTAATGAGAGTGTTTTTCTTACCATTCTAAATGCAAACGTGGATTTACAGCTACATATATTAAGAATGCTCCAAAAATCAGCAAATAGGTGCCATAGTAGATTGCATTCTCAATCAATGCAGTTTTTATCTTTCCTGTAATGGAAAATCCACCAGATCTTGCATATGACTGCATAAAAGGTAACAAAATCCTATTTGGACAGAAAATACATAATTACAAAAACAATTATGTATCCATATAATCTCAAAATATCAGAAGTATATGAATCTTAATCTATTTTTCTAACTAATACAGATTGCTATGAATAATTATATGTTAATAATAAAGCAAAATAGATGATAATTTTTTATTATGAAAATATTGTACAGAGGGGTTACAATTACATGGGCAAAATAATGAGTACATTTCTTATCAAGCATTGCAGCCTCCTCCTTTGTTCCCCTTCCCATCCTCCCCCTGCCCCCCCACCCAATCTTCCCCGCTCCCCCCGCCCCCGCCCCGCGAACCAAAGTTGTAAAGTTCGTTTTCGACATAACGACTTATATATCTCATTCTTGCAATGGGGATGACTACAATTTTAAAAATATTAAATTTTGAAAAACATATGACCTAAGAAAGGAGCATATCTTTTATCCTTCACTGACACTTACCAAGTTAAAAATTGTGATGTCCAATATACCACCCTCCAGAAAATTGGCATGATTCCATCAGGGATATAACTCCATGGTTTGAAACATGGGTGTTGTCTGTTTAATATGAATTTAAAGTCAATTATCGATTTATTTATTAAATGAATAATATAATTTATTGGTATATGGCGAAGTTCATTTATATCAGATTAATAATTACCAACACAATTTTACAGAAAACTTAACAATCAAAGCCAACCAATCAGACTACAAAATGCACATAAATGACACAAAACACTTTGTTAAAAAAAGGGCTCTCTGCTCTTTTCTAGCTCTCAGCTTTTTCCTTCTCTTCTCTTTCCCAGCTCCCTTCTCTTTCTAGCTCTCTCTCTGCTCTTTTCTAGCTCTCTCTGTTCTTTTCTAGCTCTTTTCTAGCTCTCTCTCTGCTCTTTCCTTGTTCTTTTCTAGCTCTTTTCTCTCTCTTTCCCAGTCTACTGAATAAACCTATCCCTAACCTGAATACCACGTGCCTGGTGCTGTTTTTACTTGCCTACCTCTTTTTAAAAACTTAACATAAATGGTGCAGTGACTCGGATAAAGGGCTTAAAGTCAGGATAGGTAGGATTCCTCTCTGTTTTTTTTTCTTCTTTTTTCTTTTTTTGTTTGTTCTTCCCTTTTTGCTCTGAGGAATACCCACAGTTCTGACGGCCTTTTGCGAACCCATCTGACGCGGACACAGCGCGTCAATACCATTGCTGGCCTTCACATCCACGTCCACACCACTTCTCTACTCTGGTGAGTGAAACTACTCTCTACAGCTCGCTGTTGCTCAGTCTCTGTCCAGACGTGGTGCCACACCAGAGAGCTCCTACAGCCTTTAACTGAAAGGCCGGTCACCTCTGAAGCTGAGGACACTTGGTTTTGGGGGCTTGGCCATTTCTCTCTAGAGGGCTCTGAGGGAAGTCGGGACGCCGCTTCTGCCTGGTCAGCTCTCCTTCACTCACCAGACTGACTCTCCTACACATTTAATGGGGTGCTGCGAGTCACGCCTGAGCTGTGAAACCCCTTTGAAATGCCTCCTGCGCTCCCTGGAAGGCCAGAGCGCCTCATTTTATGCCACTCTCAGATGTAGACAGTTTTTGCCACTGCAATGGTAAATGGTCAGAAGTCTGTTTACTTTCAGGTTCTCTTTGCTCTCTCTCTGCCAGTCATGTCCAGCTTTCCCTATCTCTCCCTTTCTCTTTTCTACATTTTGGCTTGTGCCCTGAAGAGTGCAATGCAGACTGGGTCCTTGGGACCCCACTCTAGGTTCCCTCTCAAAGGCTAGCCAATGTAGGCTTGATCTATTTGTTCAGGGTTTCTTTGCATTTTTTTCAGAAATTCGCCATCTTGAATTTGCCATCTTGGCCACATGGTGGGTTAAGGGTTTGGCCCCATCTAACCCTTAACCTTCCACTAAGCTTACTACTCCATCCATCTATTCTAAGGTGCCTTGCTAACAAGTTGCTCTTTTCACAGGCCCTGGTAACTGAGGCCCAACTATCTGATGTGCTTTGTTAGCAAAGTTGACTAAACATTGTTGTAAAAAATTTAGGTTTTGAGTTTTGCCTTTTTTGTTTTGTGTTATACATTCTGGTACTGACTACGTGAGTCTAAAATATTGGGCATATCTGTGCTAAGATTCTCACATCGAAGAAGTTTTGTCATTCCAGAATATTTGTCGGTCAACTCTTGATAAGAACCAGGTAAGCTCTACTTACTCTACTTGATCTCCTTGTTGCTTTAATTGGAAATAATAAAGGGCTTTTGTGGCAAAGATTTCATTCAAAGCCAACCCGGGCCAAAAAATCCTTAAGACTCCATCTCCCAACTAACCTGCAAAGAGCCAGGCTGGAAGCATGGCTCAAGACTCTTATCTCTAACCAGCCAAACACTGGAAGTGCTATTGTAACTCAACGTGGTAGAGCACTAGTCTTGAGCAGAAGTGCTCAGGGACAATGCCCAGGCCTTGAGTTCAATCCTCCTTGAATACCAATTGGGACAAGCCATCCCAGCAACAAGCACCTAGACTCAGCCAGTCTGGGGAACAAGGGAACATGGAGTGGAGTAAGAGGAGATGATGTCACATCAGCTACTTTGTGCCTGCCCTTTCAAAATTAACCAGAGCCAGGAGGTCAGTAGAAGTGAGAAGCCTGCCCATCCAAAGTCTATACCTGTCTACCTATTAACTGAAAAGGAATTTATATCCTTGCCTTTGTTACCTGACTTCTCCTCTACCTAGTCACCAGATGGCAGAAGTAGCTAGGGACATTTCTACCAACATTTTCAGCCCCAAGTCCTTCCTCTTGCCATTTATTTGCTCTCTAGTATTTTTTTTTCCAGCCCCTCAATGCTCATGAGACTTCTCCAGACTTCATCTAAGGACTCATGCCACCAAGGGACAGCTGCTGCTCGCTGCCTTCTCTGGGAGGGGACCAAATTCCAGCCTTTTACCCCTATTGTCGACGCCCCTTGTCAGCAGGAAGTAGCCAGAGAGAATCCTCGCCCTCTTTCATGATTATTAAAAGGCTGGAATGTAAGGTCTGCTCCTGGATGGCGAGCAGACTCCACCCTCCTCGCAGCAAAGTCTCCACCCAGTATCTGTGTTACCTAGGCAACTGGGACACCTGGAAGAGGTCACATCTGCATCTGCTGAGGTCACATCTGAATTTTGATGTGGTCACACCTTTCTCCACCCATACCCTAGATAAGGCCTAGCCCAGGCCCAGATGCTCTCTCTCTGCTCTTTTCTAGTTCTCAGCTTTTTCCTTCTCTTCTCTTTCCCAGCTCCCTTCTCTTTTCTAGCTCTGTCTGCTCTTTTCTAGCTCTCTCTGCTCTTTTCTAGCTCTTTTCTCTCTCTCTTTCCCAGTCTACTGAATAAACCTACCCCTTACCTGAAAAAAAAAAAAAAAAGGATGAGCCAGGTGCCAGGGGCTCAGGCCTGTAACCATAACTACTCAAGAAGCTGAGATGTCAGGATAGAGATTCGAAGCCAATCTGCACAGAAAATCCATAAGACAATAAACTACTGGGAAAAAGCTGAAAGTGGCACTATGGCTCAAATGGTAGAGGGCTAGCCTTGAGCACAAAGAGGCTCAGGAACAGCACCCAGGCCAAGTTCAACCCAAGGACCAGCAGAAAGGAAAAAAAAAAAAAGGATGCTATTTAAGTTTCCCAATTTCATTGCACTTTTAGGTACTAAGTAAATAAAGGAGATAATGCTCAACTGATAGACTAATAATATAATGGTCTTTAAAAAGCAAAAGTATCTTGATATCAAATCTCTATGATGGTCTTAAGATATACACTCATACTATTTGCAGGATTGGTTCTCTTTTTTTATTATAACTTAGAAGTAAGGGTTGACCTGCTTTCACTAATATTTGATGTCAGTATAACTTGTGGAGGAGATGGGGAAAAACCAGTTGTTTAAGGATACAGGTGGACCTGTTGCAACAATGAGAAGTACACGTTGTCATGTCCAAAACGAGCTTTACAACGTCGGTGCGGGGGGGGGGGGGGGGGGGGGAAGGAGAAGGATTGGGATTGGGGGGGAGGGGGGAGGCTGGGAAGGGATGTGAAGGGTAAACAAAGGAGGAGGCTGCAATTCTTGGTAAGAAATGTACGCATTATCCTGCCCATGTAATTGTAACTCCTCTGTACAGTATGTTCACAAATAAAATTAAATTTAAAAAAAAGAAGTAAGGGTTGAGTAGAAGATATTAAGTAATTAATTCCCAGAAACTGGAAAATTGGAATGCTAATTAGACCAGTCAGTATAACAGCCCTTGTGAAGAACTGTTACCTACACACAATTCTCTTTAAATTTTCTGATGAGTTTCTGACAATCCTTCCACTTAATAGCTACTTAGACTATAAGGATATATCCTTTAAACCATGACTTCTAAACATTGTAATTCTGATGTATATCCATTTTACTAGTGTTTTTAAAAGGAGTAAAATCTACATTTTAAATTTACCTTTATTCAAGTTAAAAGGTTTTTTAAGCTACACAAAGAGCACAAATATTACCTAAAACATTAGCAAAGACTTTATGACAACATTTTTACTTTGAAATTCGATATAAATTCAATATAACCTTTTAACAATTGGGGCTTTATTCATTACTGATATAAAACTACAATGCCTTTAAAGTACAGTATGAAACAATAACATCTTTGGGCTTCATAACAACATTGGAAATTAGGAATAGAAAAAAATCCATGATTATTTGTTTATGGTGCAGAAATCCAGGAATGTTCTCACTCCGTTTTTAGACATAAGACAGAGGCTGAGAAGAAAAATAGGTTAGGAACCTAATATGGGAAAGAACCAGAACAAAATATTAGCTTCTTTAAAAAAGGAAAGGAAAAAGAAATACCTCGTAGCTGGGATGACAGTTGCATAGGACCCTGTAACATTGCTACTCTCAGGAGGGCTTGAGTTTGCAGCAGCATGCCTACACCGGTTGTATATTGTCTGCAGCAATAAATAAATGGGTTAAAAAATGAGAATCAAAAAGTTACCACCATTACTTGGGCCACACTTCCATTCCACTCAACCTTTATTGTCGTGTGTGTGTGTGTGTGTGTGTGTGTGTGTGTGTTGGTACTAGAGCTTGTGCTTTCACTTGGCTTTTCATTTCTCTCAAAGCTGGATGATGCTCTAGCACTTGAGCTATATTTTTGCTTCTAAGACTTTTCACTATATACCCTTTGTACTCACTGAAATCTTAAAAAGAAAAGAAAAGCACAGTAAGTATAAGACCCATGACAACCGGAGCTTTGTTCTACCTAAAGCTGAGAGATAGCAGCAGCTGCTGCTGGCCTGGTTAAATGGGGACTATATACAAAGGTGGAAAAGAGTATGGAAGAAGCTCAGGGTTTTGCAGCAACAACATTAATATTACTTATTGGAGTCTAGGAGAGAAGCTGTGACCTCCCTTCCAGGGTCATAGCCCAGCTTGGTGACCTCTCAGACAGGGCATCTGAGGTATGAATACTTCCTTCCTCTCCTCTCTCCATTTTATATCTCTCTGGATGGCCTGCCCATTGAGTAACACCAAAAGGCAGCCAGAGGTTAAGAGTACTTGTCCAGGTAGCCAGGAGCTAGCTTGCCTGGGTGTGCAGCCAGCTCCACTGCCAAGTGTCTTAAGGATGGTGATCTATCACAGGAGGATAACAATCACACATAGCTGGGAAGGGTGGGATGAGAACAAAACTGTCTAATCTATTCAAAGTGTTTACAACATCACTGATGATAAACACCATCCATCTTTCTACCATAGGCCATCTCCCTATGAGAGACAGCAGGAGGAAGACAGCAGTGGAGGTCAGGTCAGGCTGGCCATAGGAATAATATCATTATTAACTAACCTATTCATTAAGCATCTCTAAATATGAGGACCCAGCTTTCCCCTTGCCCATAACCTGTGTGGAATCTTCCTGGTCTTAAAGAAGAAGGGACTAAAGCTGGGGGGAGCAGGTGCACTCCTTGCCCAAGGTCGCACAGCCAAGCCCCAGCCCAAAATGCTATTTGTTTCCCAGCTGCTGAGTGTCCTCTTTTAGAAAGTTGAAGCTCATGAACAGTCCTTATAAAGTACAATACAAAAAATTAAAATTGGGACTTTATTTTGTAGAATTTTGTCTGAGCTTATAAGATATCTAAAGGAAAAAAAGTTACATTTAAGAAATTCTGGAGTTTACAAATGCATCTACCTATCTACAAATGCATCTACATATCTCCCTGCCTATGTTGTTTAATAATCAAACTCCAAAAAGAAAAAAAAAGTTTAAGTTTTAAATAAAAAAAAACAGTATGTAATTTAATTGTGTTTAAAAAAATATATATCTCAAGCTGGACACTGGTGACTCATATCTGTAACCCTAGCTACCCAGGAGGGTAAGATCTGAGCATCACAGTTCAAGCCAGCTTGAGCAGGAAAATCTATGAAATTCTTATCTCCAATTAATTAATCACCAAAAAGCTGAAAGTAAAGCTATGCCTTAAGTAAGTAGTAGAGTACTAAAACTGAGAAAAACAGTGCTTAGGCCCTGGTTCCAGCTCCAATACTGGCACAAATAATAAATAATTGTGTGTGTGTGTGTGTGTGTGTGTATCAAACAAACTATGTGATTGTGAAAATTAGTTTTGCCTCTTACCGTACTAACATCCAGTGGCAAGATGAAGACAATGAGAAAGCAGAGATACCAAGCAAGCAGTGTTCCAACAATTACAAGTCTATGTTGTTTCTTAAAGTCTCCATATCGATGAAGTAGGAATAATGCCAGAAAAAAGACAAAAACAATCTCGAGTCCCAATGCTGCACCACTCATTATTGAAGTCACTCAGTCTGACCCAGGTTGTTCATGTAGAGTCTGGACCATATCTGTTCACTGAAAAAAAAAGAAAAAAGAAAAATGTACCATCAATACAGGAACTGAGCATTTGGAAATGTTCCAACTATTTACTCATTATTATTAAATTTCTTGGAAAACTGACATATAACTTTATATTGGGCTCTGAATTAGATGAAAAGGTAAATATTAATGTCAGGATATTATAATGAATTTTTAAAAATTTCTTATCACTATATTTTCAGAAAATAAAAGCTGTTTTTACAAAAGTCACAACAACTCTTAAAGTACAACAATTTAAGAAATTCATAATATTAAATGTGAACAGTTTTAGGACACTTAGGGTTAGTTTCCTAATGCTATAATCCTAACAGAATATTTCATACAAATAATGCTATTCTAGGAGATTAGATATTTAGGCTAACTTAGGAAGTTATGATACTAGGAAATTAAATAATTAGTTAAAAGGTTTTTTTAGATTATCTATAGCCCACAATTAAAGATTTTCTGAGCTATGCCGGTGGTTCACACCTATAATCCTAGCTACTCCTAGCAACTCAGGAAGCTGAGATCTCAGGATTGCGGTTCAAAGCCAGCCCAAGCAGGAAAGTCCTTGAGACTCTTATCACCAATAAAAACCAATAGAAAACCATGCCCAGACCCAGAGTTCAAGCCCCATGACCGACCAAAAAACAAACAAACAAACAAAAAATAACAAAAAAAAATTTCTGAGAGGAGGAGTCAGAAAAATGGAACTATTTTAAAGCAACATTTTCTTTGTTTCAAATATTATGTGCATATTATCCTAGTTTTATTTAACAACTCAACTTTCAGGATTTAAATTTACTTTGCCTTTAATAAGATATACTTATCACTTTCCACTTATCTACATAAACTTATTTAAACCAAGCTACTTTATATGTAAAAATATTCATCAGTGGCTTTTTATTGTTGTTTTTGAGACCAGATCTTACTATATAGCCCAGATTTGCCTTTGCCTGCTAGGTGCTCAGAATATAGGAGTATGCCACTATGCCCAGCTTGAAAAATAGTTTCACTTATAAATGTTAGTGACACAGATATCAACAGGTGATTTATTTGATGTCTTTTTACTCCTATATAAAATAATTTAAACTAGCACAGTATATAATTTTTAATCTATGGAAATAACAATATCTCAACTTTGTGAATCAAAATTCTAATGGAACTCCCAAACAAGGCATCATAAATAAAATACCTCAAATCAACAAACATTAGTAGTCCAATCTATTCATAAAAAAGAATTAAAGTTTGAATACATCAATAAACTGAAGTTAAATTTATTTAAGAAATACCCCTTTATGAAATATCACAGAAATTGTTTCCCAAACAATTCTTCTCACTATTTCTTTATAATATTGAAGAGATTTCTTCAATTTCTCTGCATATGTCAACCATCCATATTTTCATTTTTCTTAATCATCTATTACTGAACCTCTCTTGTCACTCTGAAACTTCATCCTCTCATCCTACTGCTTCTTCTCAGAAGATCCTCTTGTGGTTTGACTTATTTATTTACCTGAAATTTTTCAGTGCAATGAATAGGATAATAGAAAAGAGTAAATATTAGTGATTACCAAAGAAATACTAAAGTATGGTAGAGTAAAATGATGGCATATTATTGAAATATTCAAAATGCTTGTTAAATTTATTTGTGACATTAGAAATTTTCCCATTACTATGTTAACAAAAAAACTAGATAAACATACCTTATACAATATGCATGAAAAGGGTAAAATAATGTAATATGTGAAAATATTAAATAATAGGTTGTAAGATAATAGGCATAAATGAACAATAATAACATTTTTGTTTACTATGTTTCTCAATTTCTCCACCTGAACCACAGTACTTTACAATGTTATAGATGAATAAATAGAATTATGGATCCTTTCTTATAGTAATAAAGAAATCATCTTGTTACAGCTCTGCTCTTATTCATTAAAATAGACACCCATAATGGCTGTAAGAAATACTAACAACTTAATGACTTATAATCACACATGGCTCAACTGAGGTCTCTGTTCAGGGTCTCAAGATATCAAGTGTGTTTACATTCCTATGTGGAGCAGAATTTAAGTTCATTCAGTCTGTTGGCAAATTTTCATTCTTTGTGGTTTTAAGACTGGGATTCCTGGGGCTGGGTGGCTCAGTGGTAGAGCGCTTGCCTTGCATGCATGAGGCTCTGGGTTCGATTCCTCAGCACCACATAAGCAAAAAGAAAAAAGCCAGAAGTGGCGCTGTGGCTCAAGTGGTAGAGCGCTAGCCTTGAGCTGAAAAGCTGAGGGACAGCGCCCAGGCCCAGAATTCAGAGTTCAGGCCCCACGACCAGACCCAAAAAAAGAGACTAGGATTCCTGTTTCCTTCAGAGCTGTTTATTGACTGGTATTTGCCCTTAATTTAAGAGGCATCTGTGCATGTATCTGTGTATCTTTTTTTTTCAGTGTACAATGGGTACAGTTGGGACAAATGGGGGAGAATAAAGGAGTGACACTGACCAAATACATTGTACTCATAAATTAATATATTGAAATGAAACCTTTTTTCCAAGTATTTAAGATAATACAAAATTAAAAACGTATTCAACATTATTTTATATCTAAGTAAATAAAACTACATTGAAATGATTATTTTGGTCAAGTAAATTAACATGCATCTTATCACAATTACTTCCTTTTCCTTCCTTCCTTTCTTTCCCCCTCTTCCAGTGTGTTAGGTGAAGTGGTCCTGTATATCATTGATGGAGCAATGGCTGGCAAGTGTTTCTGATACTTAAAGTATCATCTGTATGGTGGTCTCCTATGCTCTCAAATTGGAGAAAGCTTTGCATTTTAGGATTTATTAGATTTAATAGGTACATCTAGATAATATAATCATACTGGTTTTAGCAATTAAGATAGACATGCTGTGTGTCTATTATTCTCTCCTAACTAAACCCAAGACTGAACAAAGTTATTTCATATCTTTAAATTTAAATCATCCTAACCTATAACATCTATATCTGAAATAGTGTATTTCAATTCATTTGTATGGCAAAACATACCCATTCAAACAAAGGCAACTGCTTCCTTCAAATAACACAAAGGTAACTTTACATTAAAAATATCTAGAGGCTTCATTTTAACATATTTTCTACATAGTAATGTGAGTTTAATTGGGAACACTGAATCTAGTATTCTGCATCATTTTGAATAAAATCAGTTTGCAAAAACATCATGTCATTACACCAATCTCACTTTCAAGAAGTTCTAAGTGTCATTATTTTACTCAATTATTTTACTCAAGCCAATGTTCAAAGAAACACAAGAATCAATCACAGAACAAACCAAATATTTCAGTATGTTTGTGATTAAGGGGCCTGTTTACTTCTGAACTGTTCGTGTCATTGAAAACTGGGCTTGGAATTCATCCCCCTCTCCTTTCCCATTGTTGCCCTGGTAGTGTGCACAGTGGATTTCGTATGATCATCCACCTGGATTACGGTAGGTTCCCTATTCTAACTGCCCTAACCTCGCCTTGTCATAGACAGGCCAAATCCCTCTCTTCCGTACGCAGAGGGTTGAGCCGAAGTACCTGCCAGGCTTTCCTGGTGGCCGCTGGCTCTGCACCAGCGAGGCGCTTCGCAAGCACACCGTCATCTCACTGATTCCCGTGGCAGCACCAGTGAGATCCGTGCAGGCTGCCAGGGATGCGCAGCTTTCTCGTCAATCGCAGGAAGCACTGTGGTCTCCGGCTCCCCTAAAATTAAGCTTCCAATTCGCTTTAGTGTACAAAGGCTTTCACACGCACGATCTGGTGCGATCGGCGTCCTGAGCCTCTGGCTCTCTCGTTGGCGGTGCTTATTTTAAAGAGAAAGTAAAGACCCGGTCGGAAGACCCCATCCTGAGCCCCCCCTCCCCCGGGCGGAGGCAGGGAGATTGGCAGGTGTCCCTCGCAGGGCTCCCGGCCTCTCACCTGGGCGGCGGGCCGAGCGGCCACCTCCATTCGGGTCAGGGATGTGGGCCCCACGGGGACGGCCGCTCGGGTCTCCGGGGTCCCCTCGCTCTCCACCGACTCTCGGCCCAGACCGCGGACCCCGGACCCCCAAAACACCTCACGCGCTCCCCGTCAGGCTCACCCGCCGATCTCGCCAGACAGCGTCTGGAAGGCACCGGGGAACCGCGACCGCCGTAGCTGGCCAGGGTTCGAGACCCACGCTCCGAGGAGACCGCGGTGACAGTCACCCCAAGGCCTACGGGTTCCAGGGACAGGAGAAGCCCCTCAGTTCAGCGGCTGACATTTCCCAGTTAGCCGGAGCTCCACCCACTTCCGCTTCCCCGCCTTCCCCCTAGCGCGGCCCGGCCCCGCGCCGCGGAGCTCCACCCACTTCCGCTTTCCCATTTCCCCACCTCCCTCAGCCATTTCCCCCAAGCTCTGTCAGACCGCGAGGTTTTATGGGTATGTGGTAGGCGGGCAAAACGGAAGTCGGAGTGAGCCAGGAGGCCAGGGAGGCGGGCTAGGAACTACAATTCCCAGCAGGCTGCGCGCCAGCAGTAGGCGGCCGCCGTGCGGGTGAGCGGGCCGAAGAAGTCTGCGCGCGCGGAGAGGATGGAACGTTACTAGAATTCTCGGACCAGGCTGCCGCGGCAGGGGCCGCTTGAGGGGGCCGCCACGCGAGTTGAGCGGGAACTGGGAAGACAGGTCGCTTTGTCACTAATGAACGAGTTTAAAACTCTCGAACCAGAGGACGCCATGCACAGGTAAGCCATTTGTAAAAAGCTGCCGAGCATGAATGGACCGTTGTAATTCTTTAGGCCGCTCCTCTGATTGCTGAGATTGTTACTGATGGTGGCTTGGCCTCGGCCTGGGGAAAGGACGGATGGATGGTTGGATGTGAAGTCAGCGTGCGAGTTTACTTGCCTTCCTTAGTTGGGATGGCCTGCAGCCCTTTTCCACCACTGATTTCCCTCCCTCTTTCCTCCTTCCCTCCAAGGGAAGAAATTCTCCAGGCCTGCGTGATCGTAAATCTAAAAGCCCTTTTGGTTCAGTTTTTTTCCCTTTTATTCTTCAAAATCTTGCTGCATCATTTTTTTAACTGCCATTTTAGTAGCTGTTGTGGATCTTTTCGACAATACATCACTTAATGCTTCTTTCATGCCTGCCTTGGAATTATTTAGGGATGTATTTTGAAAAGAAATGGGGGTCTTATGCCCTTCTACAGGAAGCATCTCCAAGAGATTCCGGATCAGAGTAGTAATGTTACCACCAGCTTCACGTGGGGATGGGATTCCAGCAAAACGTCTGAACTGCTGTCAGGCATGGGAGTTTCCACCCTGGAGAAGGAAGATGTGGACAGTGAGAACATCCCCCAGGAACTACTCCCAATCCTGGGCCACTCCCAAAGTCCTCAAAGGAAAAGGCATAAGAGCAAAGGGAATGACAAAGACTTTGTGATCATCCGTCGACCTAAACTTAATCGAGAGACCTGTCCAGGTAAGATAGAAGGGTAGCACTGTCAGTTAAGTAAAGAGTAGATTGAACCAAACATTTTGTTGACAAACCCTCTTTGGGAGATCTTTAGGAAATTGCCAAGTTCTAAAGTTATTTTGCAGTAAAATAAGACCAGTCATCATTGAAGCCTACCAGAATCTTCATAGCTATTTATGTTCTGGTGCACAGTTGACTTGAAACTTTTAACCTATGAGACAATATTCCTGTCTTTTTACTTAGAAGGGAATCTGCCTGCTCAAAGTTCAGCTCAGAGCCACTGATAAATGGAAACACAAACTATGTCTGTTTATAATTCCAGTGAGCTTTCCTGCTTTAGTCACTTTATTTGTAAATGGACTGCTAAACAAAATACTAATGTAAGAGGAGACTTATATCCCCTACTCCACTCCCAAAGAAGCATCTCCTGGGAAGTTCTGTCTCCATTTCCTTAGTGTTCCCTTTCAGTCACCTAACAGAAAAACTTACATCAGCTTTTCCCACCTCCCATATTCAAATCAATTGTTACATCTTTCCTCTTTTCTAGTATCTCTTAAGCACTCTATCTCTTGAATTGTAATAGATTAATTGCCCAGAAATAGAATGAATTAACTAAAACATAAGAACCACGTAATTACCCTTTTAAAAGGTCCACATTCCTAATAGGTACCTTCTGGGTGGATCAAAATCCTGTAGTAGCTGGACCCCACTGTCTCACACCCATAATCCTATCTACTCAGGAGGCTTGACGGCTAAGGATTATGGTTCAGAGCTAGCCTTGGCATGAAAGTTTGTGAGACTCCTATCTCCAGTTAATCACCAAAAAGCCAGATGTAAAGTTATGGCTGAAGTAGTAGAGTGCTAGCCTTGAGAAAAAAAAAAAAAAAACAGAAACAGTGCCCAATCCCCTCTCGCCCCCGCCAAAAAAAAAAAAAAGAATATCCTAGAGTACTCAAAACTATAAAACAAGTATTTGACCTGGTGGGGGGAAGGACGGTAATCAGTTTTTCTTGGTAGTAAGTCATTTAAAATAACAATTTAGCAAATATATTCTGATTACATACTATATGCTAGACACGATTCTAGTTGCTGTGGATATGTGGTGAGCAAAAAAACCTTTTCCATGGAGCTTCCAGTCTAGTTAAGAAACACAAACAATATATATGATATATGGTATGCTAGGATGAAAAATGCAAACTAAAAACAAAATAGAGTCCACCAAGAGAAGAAGCAGCCCTGGGGTAGGAAGGTAGATTGCGGTTTTAAACAGTATTGAGGGAATGCCTCAGTGCTCAATTGGACAGTGTCCTTTAAAAAAGCAGAGACCTGAAGTAGGCCTGGGAGTATGCCTTACAAATACCTTGAAGAAAAGAGCCTCAGGCAAAAGGATGAGCTATTGCAAGATCATGGGACAAGGATGAACAACAAGGAAGCCATATGACAATTGAGTGGCAAAGGGGAAAAAAGAGGCAAGTCAGGCAAGAAGTGGTGTTGAGCAGAGTTGTGGACCAGACTTGATGGAACCATTCCAGAGGACACAAGATAATGCTGAGACTAAAATAGAATGGGTCGTGGATAGAAGCATAGAGATTTTTTTAAGAGATGGTGGGAGAAGGGAGGAGCAAAAATAAGCAGTAGTGTTTATCCTGAATATAGCCTAATGTTAGAAACAACAGAATTACAGGATTGTTGAAATTATTCATAGAAGGAAGTGGTCAGTCTAAACTGAAAATAAAAGTGTGATGGATAAAATAGAGATGAAGATGAAAAGTCCTGCAGAGAGCCAAGGTAAATAATTATAGTCTTAAATTTTTATATTTGACTTGGCAGAAGAATAGATGAGTTTGGGTTGATTGCTTGCTGAAAATAGTTATTAAATTTTCTCAATCCTTTATTTGGGAAAGAGGGCCTTATCCAAATTACAGCAAAGGAGTCCTTATAAAGAATTAGATTAATGTTGGGCATGATGGTGCACATCTGTAATCTCAGCAACTCAGCAAGCTGAGGAAGAAGTATTTCATGTTTCTGCAAGCCTGTTTATAGCAAGACTATTTAAAAATGAAAACATAAATAAATAAAACAAAACAAAAATATAGCAAGACAGTAGCGGGGAGATAAGACAATCTGGGCTTTAGTTTCTATGAGCCTTAGTTTTTTTTTCCGCCTTTGAAAAGTAGTAATAATTGCCATTTCGTGGGTTTCTGTGAAGCTTAAAATGAGACTATGTGAAGCTCTTCGCATGCTGTTGGCAAGTATAATAGTATAAATAAAACTAGTTAACACTGGTCAACAAAATTTCTGACACCTGCTAGGGAAGTCAGCTGACTTGTTAATAATACTGACCTGAGTGCATAATGTTGTTAATCCAACTCTGTTCATATAGAGCTTTTATCTTTAAAAAGTTTCTGCTGTGTTTAGCATGTGGAACATGGTAAAAAGTATTTCCTGCTAAGGTATTTTGATTAAATGGCTCAGTGCTGATAGCTTTTGTGTCTGCTGTATGTCCTTTACATGCACACATACACATCTGTAAATAAAAGAGGGTGTCTGAAAAACAGACACAAGTATAAGGGATGGATCCTGCCTCCTAGGGATTTGCAAGTCAAGTTGAAAAGAAAGGACCAAAGTAAAAGCAGCAGCTCACACACAGCTTGCAGTTATGTGTGACTAGGAGCAAAGGAGTAGCTCATACAGCAAGGGCCCCTAGAGGCCAGAGGGAGAGAGGGCCTTGAGCAAAAGTTACTCCATTCCCACTGGGGTAGATGTGAATAATCTTCTCACTCAGCCATGTGAATAATCTTTCCACTCAGCCAAAGTGGAAGTTCCAAAAAGAGAGGTCTTGAAAGTGGTACAGTCAGTTTGACTGGATTATAATATTGACCCTAAAATTGTATGTTTGAAGTAAGAGGCACAGGAGACAAAGGGGAAACAATAGCATACATGTGTATGTGCCTGGACTTAGACAAATGTGATTGGTCCTTTGCTATGGATGAAAACTGGGCTCAGTGATACAGCATAGACAGCTGTGGAAAGCAGTTCTGATGGGCTCCCAGAAGCAAGCCAAAGCCTCCAGTGTTGGTTGGTCCTCATTCAAAGACCTTTTGTCTGCAGTTGTCGGGACAGGTGGCTGGAGTTCTACTAGGATTAGGATATGATAGGCCGCATCTGCTGTGCATAGAGATCTGATGACTGGCTCTGGGATTTAAGTTTTGTGGGTTCTTTGCTAAACAGGCTTTCCCTGTAAGCCCCAATCCAGCCTCACAGCTGACATCTGAATTCCACTTCATCCTCTTCTCTTAATAGTGGAAAATTAAAGCTGTTCTGTCAGCCTAGACCAGAACAGGTCTCATTGGCCCTTGGGTGAGCATATGGAAGATGTTGAAAGGAAACAACCAATAACAAGCAGAAAGAGGACAGTCACACTTATGATCATTAAGAGCTTATTCTCGGCCCTTTGACAGGCGTTGGCCATGAAAATGTGGTTGAAATAATTTGTTGATCAGTTCTTCTATGGCTCTTAGCCTGCTTAAAATTCTAGGCCAGACAAAGATTCTCAGATTGGAAACTCTGAGGTTCACAATATATCATAAGCCCCCAAGGGAACTTGTTCAAAGTGCAAAATTCCTGAGATTCTGATCCTAGAACACTTGAGCCTGGGTATCCTGACTTAATATCCTCAGGGAAAACATTTTTAACTTTTTTAATTAGCAAGAAATATGTTTTATGCTGAAATCCTGGATGTATATCCCCAAGTTTCGTAGAATATATTTCCCCTTATTAAGATGTTTTCTGTTACAACAGATGTCTATTCTTTGACATAAAATACTAGTTAAGCTTATTAAATTGATTTCTAAACCCATCAGTAAATCTCAACTGATAGTTCCCCTACCCCAGTTCTGTAGGAGTCTTTATGAGACCTTTCCAGTTATTGAGCAATATTGTAGAATTGAGAATATAGTAAGGAAGGTTTAAAAAAAAAAAAAGATCCTGCTCTTACAGAGCTTACTTACTATAACTTATTTCTCAGATCTCAATTTCTTTCTTTCATTGCACATCTTTTCATCCTTCAGGGTGGAGCAAGTCTTTCATAGAAATATAAGATTGTGCTGGGAGCAGTGGTTCAAACCTGTAATCCTTAGCTGCTTGAATGATAAAGGTCAGATTATAGCTTTAGGCTAACCTTGGACATTAAGAAAAAAAATACAAGAGATTTCATCGCAATCTGTGTCTGAACAAGGTAGCCTTCTCTTTGTCATCTCAACCTACTGGAGAAGCACAATGGCTGGGTGCAGTAGGCTCTGCTTTTCATCCCAGGAACAAAGGGAGCACAAAGACGAGGATACAGGCCAGTTGTGGACCAACAAAAAAAAAATGTATCTCAAAAAGAACCCACCAACCAGTGCTAGGGGCTTACAGTTGTAATCCTAGCTATTCAGGAGACTGAGATCTGAGGATCTTGGTTTGAAGCCAACCCCGGAAGAAAAATCCATGACTTCATCTCCAGCTAACCAGCAAAAAGCCAGAAGTTGAGCTAAGGCTCAAGTGGTAGAGCACCAGCCTTGAGTGAAAAAGCCAAGTGAGAATGTGAGTCCTTGAATTTAAGCCCCATTCTCTACCCCCCCCCCGCTCTTAAAAAATAAAAAACTAGTAAGAGGCTAGAGGTTTGCCTCAAGTGGTAGAGCACCTGCTTAGCAAGCAGTAGGCCCTGAATTCAAAATCAGTATCCACCTCCCCCCACCCCCCCACTCCCAAAAACAAGAGAAATGAAGGAGAAATTAAAGGTTTAAGTATTGTAGGGTTGAGGAATGCACGAGACCCCTATTTAGTTTTGCCTTTTTTCTGTTTTTTTTTTCTCACTACCAAAATATAAAATAAAGAAATAAAAGCCTGCACAATCTTGTGTTTTCTCTTTGTTTGTGGGAAGAGGAAAGTGAACTCATCCAGGATAGTAATCTGTGTAGTTGACCAGATAGGAAGTGTGACACATTATTACCTAAAAAAAGGCC